ATTGCGTAATCCTCACCGATGATGACGTAATCACTGACGCACCGTCGTCGACCATGAGTCTCAGGGCTGGATCGGGTCATTTCCCATCAATCAGTTTTCTTATTCGTGAAAGCCAACTGGCGCTTCACCACATTTCCACGACAACCAACATGTGAAGTACACACATTCAATGTTTGTGTTGCACTCGGTGTTGGTTCTTTTGTCATCGCAAATTTGTGTATGACGCCTTCACCTGTCTGGGTAGCATTTAGTGGTTCCATCTGCCGCATAAAATCAATCGTATCGATAAGTTCCATGGGCTCAATGCCCGATGCGGCATCAGATACATTGGACTTGTCTGTTTCGTCGTCCTTGTCTGGCGAAGTCGTTGTATCTGATACGGATCCACCTCCAACACCTTCACGTAGACCACGTTGAACCAGTTCCTTCCAGGCCTGCAATGCTGTGCAGAAAGCAGGACTCGACAGACCTGATAGACGCTCCATCACGGGCTCGAATACTGCTTTTGCATAGCAGTACTTCTCCTCGGCCGACATAACAACAACATTTGCTCGCTCGCGGCGACGCAACTTCACGTAGATGACTCGGTGTTTCGGTTTTACGCGCGGTCGTGTCGTTTTGGCATCTCCTAGCTCTCCTTTCAACTGTGTTGCTTCGCGTGTTGCTTCGTGTGTTGCACATCTCGGTCGTGTTGCTGATAATGTTGAAGCAGGCCCCTCCGGTTGGACCGCATCGAATGCATCGCTGGCTACTTTCATCGAAGTTTGGACAACCCGGAGTGAATCGATACCAGCTTGAAACGCCTTTTCCATTGCCGCCATTTCCAGCATATCCCAGCGTGGAGCAACCGTAAATGCCGAGAGACACTTGAACCGGTGAACGCGGTCACCAATGTACATCAAGTGTTGACACGGAAGGTGGTTACTTCGGTAGAATAGGCATGTACCTTGTGTAGACAACGCCCACTCTCCCACTTCCACATTCTCTTTCTTGCACGTAGCTTCCGCCAGAAATACCATGAAGTACTCCCACTGAGTGCGCACTTTTGTAAACGAAGCATCGCTTAGGTGCTTTGCCACAACTACCAGGAAGTCTGGCACAGAGTCAGGTTGCCGCGAAACCATGGAGTGCTTGCGAATTGAAGCAAGTAGCTGTCGAATTACTGTCGCTTGGTGAGCTAGAAGTCCCCCAATTGTCGCATCAATACGGGGCCTTTTACCGAGAAGCAACTTCACCTGATTTCAATTGGACTCAATTCGATTGGTGGTGGTATTGCCTGCAGAGAAGTACTTCCCACGGAGATAATTTGCCCACATCGAATAGCACGTTTTCCAATTCCGCAAAAAATAAGCAAGTAGCTTGGGGCACTTCTCCTCGCACGTTCTTGTGAATGCTGCTAACTCTGTATCGAACGCTATCTGCGTGTTGCTACATTTCGCAATATATATATAGCAACACAATAAAGCAACATATTAAGCAACATATCATTATCAACCCATGAAGCAACATACAGATTCGTACCAGTAGATTAGCTTTGCAAACGCGTCTTCCATCCTGTCGCGCTGTGACATTGTCAGGTCAAACTTGGGCCGACGGAGCACCTTTCTCCAGTACGTGAGCGCGTGAAATTGGCACAGAATAACCTTGGTGCTGGGGAATGCTTTTTTCAGGACCCGCCACTCCACGAAATCTTTGTCAATAACGACAGTCTGGATCAAATTCCAGGACGGGTTCTTCTTTTTGAAGAATTCAATGATACGGTCCATTGTTTCTGCTTTCTGGTCTAGCGCAAGAAAGTCGATTACTGGTATGTCCCGTCCTGTTGCGGACGTGACGACAAGGCTTCCTACAAAACCATAGAAGTTATCATGTGCATGATTTCACAATTAAATACAATGCAACTTACCCAAATGATATCCGAGGTTATTAGTCCCGTGCGTCCAATCCATCACCAATGTGTCACCCCACTGACGGAAACATTCCTTCTGAATGGAGGTTTGCGATGCAATGACACATGTTATATCCTTTTGATCTTGCACCAGGAGAACATCGTTTCCTTCTTCGGCGACAAAAGTATTGAAAAGAGACTTCGTTCGTTCCAACGCCGATGACCCCAACAACACCCGGAGCATGTTACGTGTTTGCTGAGGTGTAATAGTAATATCTGCATGTAAACGACATGTTGTTAAACTCATTCAAAACTTTGAAATATGCAGGAATGCTTAAGGTCGACTGCTGCCAACCTCCTTTACCAAAACACAAGAACATAAACCTCAATATCAGTATAGTTCACTTCACCTGTTGTGCTTCTCTCTTG